TTGATAGCAATTGTTTACCGTCAAGTGATCCGTCTATGCTTTATCCGCTCTATTCCATAACCAATGTCTATTTGCAATAATTAAGCATCTGTTCTTAGAAAAACTGTCAGTAATTCCAATTAGCACAGGTTCGCACTGAACTCCAAAAAGCGCTGGCTTACCAAATAAGCCGTCGGACATAGCTCGGGGCTCGAACGGTTTGGAGAATCGCAGCAAAAAGTTCCACATTTCACGACTCTGACATTTATAGAGCGGTTGTTAGTTCAGGTGAGTGACGTATGCACTGAATAGATGCACTTCGCTACTATTGGTTTAGATAAAACTTTGATCAAACTTTTTGAGTGGATTTTAAAAATGTTCGTTTGTTATTGTCGCTACATGACCTTCCTGATTTCCTTTTTAGTCTTCTTAGTAAGAAAGTACATATGAGACTGCTTCATTGGCCAAGTGGTCGCAAGTGCGACTGTCGGTCGGGCAGAGCAAAGTACTACTGGGTTTAAAAAAAACTCAGTAGTAGCACGGAGTCTTCAAATGTGGCAAATGTCGTATGGCTACCTTTTACATGAGACTCATAACATTAATAGTGAAAAGCGGGTGTTACATTGTACAGTGGCATTAAGTGCCGTAATGTGCTCCTCTGCCTCCTTCTTCGGAGATAAAAAGCGTGATGTTATGTTATGTTATACGAGTCGATGTAAAAAAAATGTTTTCTACTAAAACATATATCGAACATATTCGATAGTGTCTACTATTAAGTTTTCTTAAATACTTACTTGCGTAATAGAAAGTACTACCTGTGTGTGAAAGAAAATCCATTGCATTGTCGCTGGTATAGGGCTCGATATAATTTAAGGAAACATGACGAGAGAATTTTCAAAACAATCTTTTCTACTGACCTCTACAAAAAACTATTATCAATGAACTCTACTTAAGATAAATACTCACTTATCTTAACACTAGGTAACGTGTTAAGCAATTTCACTTAATCTCTGTAATCTGACTTGGGTTTACAAAGAAGATTACCTTAAGAGCTTTTGGTTATAAACGCATTCCATTTTTACGTTTTACTTTGTGACGAAACAAAGCAGATGAACATTATCTATCTATAGTGTAGCTAATGTAGGGAAAGCCAAGGATAAACTAGGGGAAAAATGTCTTGCGACACGTGTCGCCAGAGACGTTGGGTGAAGTAGCGCGACGGACATTGGTCGACATGTCTGGCAACATCAACGTCGCTGTGGACATAACTTGCGCGTTGTCACCGTATAATATGTCAAGCGATATCGACCGGTCTCTTTTTTAAGGGAGTATATCATCGAATGACTTCTCCAGCCAGCATGAGGCGGGAAGAAGTGTCAGGCTCTTTCTGATTAAAAACCGGAGCCCCGGTAACCCGTTAAGTTTTCAGCGGCTCCGTATCGGCATCAACTCTATTTGGCCCCATCTGTGGTGTGTGGTCTGATGGTTCTTTGAGGTGTGCGCAGAACGCGACCCGCCGCATGCTCGGGTCTGGTTCTGTTCGGACGGAGAGCTACCCATGTTCGCCGTCCGCAGGCTCGCGCTTACGGTGGCCGGAGATAGTCCCGCGATTCCCTACGCCTTTCGTGACGGCTGGGTTGTGAGGAGGCAGCTTTTCGCCTGCCTCATGCGCCCCGCCTGCTTCTTAGCTAGCATGGCTGCATCGCAAAAGGAGGAGATAGCATCCCAGCTCCCCCTCGCTTTTGGCTTTTGATTTCGTGATTCCTTGTAAATCAGTTAAAAATGGCGAAATAATCATGACAGTAATCTACAAACGTATAATAATATTGTGTAACAAGTTTCTGTCTCCTAGGAAAATCGACCCATGAACTCACTGCAGCATTCATTCATACTGATTGCAAATAGATTATGACAAACTAGGGTTAAGAAACTCATCGTCAACTGGTACTGATTTGTAGGGTAAAATAAAGCTTACTCCATACGAAATAAAATGCATAATACAAATCCAACATAATGCTTTATTTTACAAATACTATGTAATCGCCATCTAAATGATACGCTATAGTACATACCTATTATAATTACATTTGGAGACACCGCATTATATACAGAAATTTCAACATTCAATAATAATTATGTAAAGTTATAAGGCACATTAAAACATCTTACTTCATAAATATCTATTTAGTTTTAATTCTATTAATTTACTAACTATACAATTGCGAATGCACGGATTGCACGCACAGGGTGTGAAGATAATAGTGTTATCATTTATTTATTTAAATAACCTATTTCAATTCAATAACTCAATAGATAAGACTTGGATAAAACATTGAATAACTAATGTGTAAGATTCTATAACAAAAATTAACTTCACACCTCTCACTATAAAAATGACACCATATATAATAATATCAACTATACGAAGCTATTTACATCAAAACCTGGGAATAAAATTTTAACTAAAATAATCTCTTCCACAAAAACATTAAGTTCTAATGAAAATATTATAGTCTTAGATATTTGTGATGTTTTAATGCAACTGAATTGTATCCCCGTTAAAATTTAATATGCGATATCTTGTGACAATTAATGCAATAATTGGAATTCAATAATTACTAAACGTGAACACACAAAATTAATTTTAACAATGAATTATTATCTATTTCTAATCATAAATGCTATCATTAAATAAAATGACTTTCGATGATTATCGAAAATAATTTTATTTTTCCACAATCGACCGTATTCACAAATTATATTCAGTCAATTATTTACGTAGACCTAAACTGTTATTGGATGATATATTATAGATGATGGGATTGTAAGAGAAAGGAGGTGAGAGTGACTAACGAATGAAAATAATAACCGATACCAATTTAAAGCCTTTGGATTGAGACATTTTTATCGTATAGGCAGACGAGCAGACGCATCACCTGATGGTAACCACTGATTGGTCAGTCAGCCCTACTCATAGACACTCGTAACACTAATGGAGTTACTGGCGTATTGCCGACCTTTAGGACAGGTATTAACATTCTATGAACAATGATAAAACATTTAAATAGAGCTGATGTTTCATTAATATCGGTTATTTTTTTAAAGCAAGTAGGTTCATATAGGAAGACAACTTGGCAGTATCATGTCTTTTCAGAACTATCTATTTATGTCCTTAGATAACAAGGGGAAAATAAAAATACTGGCTCATAGTCTACCACAGTTAAGAATGGAAGTAATTAAATTAAAGGTATAATATTCTATAAAATATTTCTATCAAAACTGTATTGGATATTTTAGGTACTCATTAATTTTATTTTCGTATCGATCACAAAGAGGAATGTTATATTTCTAATGAAGACGTATCGAAGGAAATTTACTTAGACTGATATTCTATTAATTGCTTCAGGAATGTATAAGATTCAGTTATTAAAATGGATCTGGAAACTAGTTTAAAAGTTGAAAAGAAACTAATGTACTTTGTTACAAAATTTCTTTTAGAATCTGTCATTTGTAACCGCTAAAATTTTTTTAACAAATCAGTCATGGTCGAAGTTAACACAAGACATAAAATGTGACTAAAAATAAATTCGCTCAGTAACTTATGAGTACAAAAATATTCACTTATATATTCATAAACATAGTTTTAAAAATCTATCATTACAATTTACAATTTCACTAAAATTTTTACATTCTAAGACATAAGTCAATACGACTAACTATTAGATAGGTATATTGAATGACATCTAATTAATCACAATTATGTAATTTACATCGGACTAAAAGTCATTAACATTATTTTTAATCACCATTCTTATTTTCCATTGTTGACCTTGCTTTTGTAATGGTATGTTTAAGCTGTAATTATCTTTTTAAAAACAACACTGAATCGATCGTAACTATTGCCGTATTTGATCTATGAACCAAAAAAGATGACCAGCAAAATTAATTCATTATTTTATTCTAATTTGGTATTTTTAATGTTATATCTTTATCAAAATGATTGTACCTACTTGAAAACAAATAACCTGAAGATTTATGAAATGGCTACGGCTTAAAAATACCAATACAATATCACAAGACGACTTTCATTCTCTATTCAAGTCACAGACTCGTTTCTTAGGTCGTCCATATTGAAATTGATGTAATCGTAATAAATATCGAAGCATACAGATATCAAAGATATGTACAGTTAATATCTATACTAAATCCTAACCAGTAAGTTAATACTCGATAAAGAATACTATTACAACATTAATTTTACATAAAACACTTTAAAATTTATAAAAAGACGGCAAAAACATCCATTCTAGTTGAAAATATCGATAAATGTTTTCTTTACGAAGAGATATGTATAATTTATTAAGTTTCCAAGTAAAATAATAATCGTATTGAAAAAATATAGAAATACAATAAAACGCTGATTTGTAACAGCAGCAAAACATAACAATTTTAGTAGAAGTAATAAAGAACGATCTTCCACAAGACAAACATAGGCAAGCACCATCATTATAACAGTTGTTTCTTGAAACTAACAAAATTTTTCCACCAACCACAAATTCACTTTCCTATAATATTTCGCACAGAATCTGTAGGAACTAAACAAATGACATTCAAGCGAAACTAAAATCGAACACATCAGTCGTTAATAGGCCGAGTTCAACGGGGTTCATATTAGCAATAGAGAAGGTTAGATTCGCTAATACAGATGGCAGCACCATAGCAAATGGGAATTTCTAGCAACGCTCATATCAATTGACATTGCAATTTCAACGTGCTATGATGTCGCCAAAATCTCACCAATTATCTCCATTGTAATACGTTCAACAAGCCTGTGTAAAATAGTGAAGCCTTATAGTCTAAACAGCCTGCAGCGTTTCACACTATACAAGTACACATTTAACTACAAGCATTCATTGCATCAGACAACAAGTGAACCATTGAATTAACACTATGTCACAGTCACGTTATTCTCATTGTCTTTATGCTGTTTATATGAACAGCACCTCTAGGTAAGCCTCCGGCTACTCGGCTTGTGTCAGCTCTGGCGCTAATCTATTGGCGTTGAAGTTCTCCATACTCCACATCTGCCGTGATTCCGACTCGCTGCACGTCTCCATGACAATCTTGTCTTTGTTCCTTGATACCGCCATGCATTTCTCACTTGACCCATGCTTCAGCAACTTCAGCTGTGAACAAATTATACAATTAATCTACTTATATTAAAGTTATGATGACCTTTTAATGGGGCATCTTTATAGATTTATTTGAGAGCAGTATGATTATGAAAATTGAGAATTTTTGGCACAGTTTTGAATGAAAATCGTTCTAGCTCATTCTATTCCGTCATACTTCCAGTCTCATCTGGCGAGCCCTTTATATCAAGGAAAGGGAATATAATTTATATGAAAACACTCCTCATAATTTCACCGACTTAATACTTCTATATTTAGCAGCAGGTACTAAAGGATTGGTCGTTACCTAACTCCCGCAAATTAATTATAACAAAATCTTGCAAGTAAATTATTTCCTCCGACGACATTAATTAACTTTTGTTGTAAACTCCCATAATTATCATATTATGAGTATAACCATAGAGGAAAATTATCTTTCTTTAATATTTTTTTATTATATACCTACCTAATACCTAACATCCTATGTCCATCAGCCTACCTTTACCTTTACAGAAAATAATTCTTGATAAAGTCAGATAAGAAAATTACATAATCGGTTAAATACCTAAAGGGTTAGATAATTTTCTTAACACCAGCCTATTTTCAGTAGAATCTAGATCTCTTTTCTTGTAGCTACTTTAATGAAGATAGTGATAAACTCATTTAACTAAAACGAGGCACTTTCTATGATTTATTATTCAATGAATTAATATGAAACCTCTTTGAAATAAAAACTTGTATTACGTAAGCCTAAGTAATCTTGAATATCAATAACGTTTGCTATTCAAACACTAATATTTGGCGTACACAAATAAATACATAATATTGAGGGATTTAGTTCAAAATTACACAGAAGTTTAGAAGATTACAATTCTACGAAGAACTTCTATAGAAATAGTTATGAAATGAAACATTAATTATGTTTAACTGTTGGATGGAGATAGAGAAAGAAAGGACTTTTCATCATCGATAATGGAAAATAGAAAATAAGGTAATTTCTATTTTGAAGTAATGTTGAATAACAAATAGAGGAGATCCCGAATATTCAAATACCTAAAGTAAAAAAACCGGCAAGGCCTTTATTATCTACTCCTCTGGTGTAGTCGGTGTTTATGGGTTGCCAAGTTGCTTACCATCATGTCATCTATCTGCTTGTTTTCCACTTGATCCCATTAAAAATAATAAAAACAATATAAATGTGAAAACTTACGCGGGCATCATAGATCCACAGCTGGTTACCCTTGGCACCGTGGCAAGGGTACAATACAACATCATGTCCAGAATAATCCAGACATGTCTCGTCACGTCGGATCTCGCCATTTTTGGAATACATCCAATACTGGAAGTTTTAAAAATAAATATAAATAAATATTACTCCATATTTTCTACAAAAGTAAACGTTTCATATTTCACTAAGGTTTTTGGTATCAAAAGCTCATAAATATTAACTCATAAAAATATACAAAATGTTAATTTAACTTGCGAAATTGCGTACACAGCACAGGGGTGATTATAAACTTTACAAATAATATGAACTGTAACAGGGTTTTAATAGTTTGGGCACGAAATAAATATTTTTTTGTGATAAATAATAAAAAGAAATGGATACGAAAACCGAAAACCTAGTCACCCAAAACCATAAATATCTACAGATATAGACAATTGGCTGAGTTTTACAGTATACAATATCAAACGCTTTAAAGAAAGAACCATAGTTATTGATGGCATCCATTTTATTTCTATTCACACAGCTTAAAAAGAAGTATATTCGGGTCGGACGCCATTTTTCGCATCACATTATTCTGGTAAATATTCAAAACAAAAAATAAAAACAATACTCAGTCCATTATCTATATCTATGATATGCATACAAATATAGACAAAAAATACAATAAAGTAAAAATAAACAGGATCAGTTAAACATGGGTTATAATTAAAAAGGCGTTAAGGGTATAAAACTTATGTACTAAACGAGCCATTTTACACAAAGTAATCGTGTTACATCTGTGGGTATAACGAACCCTAAAAAAGAATTAAATGAACGGTTACCAAGTAAACAACGATCACACGAGTGTTAAATGGCTTTAGAAGTTGTAATTTACCTCGCGGCAGTACCAAAATTGAAAGAGTAAATATACAGTAACATCCTTAATTTTTAATCTACTACTCCATTTTAACTCTCAAAAAGTCATAAAGGATAAAAGCGGACACAAAAAGTTCAAACACATTTGAGTCACTCTGGTAAAATTAAAACAATACAAAAAAAAAATATCTAATGACATCTACTTTGTTACTAACAAACTCAAAAATTATGAACAAAATTTGTTACAAATTTTATCGCATTAGTAAGGCAAAATAGATGGATGAATGTATACAAAATACGTGCGTATCATTTTTATAAAACATTGAAGTGTTGTACGCAAATATTTTGCAAATTAGTACAAACTATAGTCGACTGTAAAAATGGCTTATCGTCTTCTACAAAATAACCCACAATGGAACGTAATTTTAATATAGAAAATTATCATTTTTATAGTCGACTATCCGCATCTGTAAGTATGCATTAATAATAGGTTACTGTGGTTGGTTTTGAAGCCACTACGACCACTTACTAAAATGATGATGATCACCAACACCAACTAGGGGAATAAGCAAAAGCAGTAGATCTGAATAATTTGGCGGCCTTCGACAAACCTGATTTCCATACTCCCCGTGACATGGCCATAGGTTGACGGGCTTCTTCATGTCTTCGGGACCAGCAGCTGAGTCGACGCACATTTCTGTCCCAGGATTCGCGATCTGATGCCATCCATAAGTTATAAAAGGCGTGCCAAAAGCAAGCGTGCTGATCCAACGTCATCATTCGAAATTATTATTAAACATTTTGAAACAATACACTAAACGAATGATGACATTAGAATGTTGTGATAATGAAGATGAGAAAACATAAATAACTGTTATAGAAATTAATTGACAATAAAACAATAATTCCTTATGACGTCAATAATCATAGTAGGTATTATGGAAGCCTCTAACATCCCAAGATACAAAACTAAATCCAGCCCAAACTCGTAGTCATAACTCCTTTTTCTCAATAGGAGTACCTGATTACCACCATATCCATGGCATTTGCGAGTTTTAACAGTTGGACGAGGTTCTTCATTTTCATTTTCTTGGACAGTCACACCATCAAGGCAGTAATTTGTGAAGCCTCCATTTCGAACCTTTCAGTGATGGTCACAAACAAATGCAAAAAACGTGACTTATGGGTGCAATAAAAAAACAAACGTGCTGTTCACGTGCAATGCAAGATAGAGTGCAAAAAAATGGAATATTGAACAAAGTCGAAACAAACATTCAAAATTTGGAATAAAAACTCCTGCAAAGTGGTACTGCCGCAATCGGTTTAATTGAATTCGACAGAAGACCTGATTTCCTCCCTGCCGATGACATGGGTAAAGTCCGACTGGCTTATGATGATCTGACTTGCGCGCTGGAGAGTCCAAACAGATCTTTTTGAAGGCGACATTTCGGATCTGTACAGGTAATAATTTCGAAGAACATATTTATTATTTGCACTCATGGCTTTCAATTATTATTACGGAAAGTGAAACGTTTGTACACGTAATGATGCTTGATTTTCAAAGTATATTGGTTACATACTACACAGTTACATAATATTCTAAAACAAGTGAAATATAAAAAGTAACGTACCTCTCCATGAGCAACAGATTCTCCGGGAATGAACAGTTCAGGGTAAATGTTCTTCAAATACCACTCGAACGATTTACATCCTAATTTTTCTCTCAGTTGTCTCCGTCCAGTTATGTCTCCATAATCACCCTTATCGTTACCAACACGCTGATAATAGTACTTCGCATAATCGTCTAACCATACCTGAAACCAGTAACATTAGTTAAGTACCGAAAGTCAAGTTCAGAGATTCGAGCATAATTTACCAAATCCCTCACTTACCTCAGCTAAACGAACAGAGTTTCTCTTCAGTACATTGACACCGGTCCGCCACTTGTATGGTGAGCGTTTCCTGAATATGTGACCAACGTGCGAACACGGAACTATTTCTAGAGTTCCACCGCACATCCACGTTTTGAATGACAGCTCTAGATTTTCTCCGCCCCAAATGTCAAATCCGCTGTCATAAGTTCCCAATTTTTCAAAGAATTCTTTATCTATAGCAAAGAGGCCACCAGCCATAGTGGGAGACCACACTGGCTCCGCTGTATGTTGGTGTCTCGCTCTTTCTTTGGCAGGAACAGGGTGCCAATTGAACTGGAGATTCCAGTCGAAACCACCAACATTGACAGAAGATGAGTCTCTGTAATGATACTCTAGGGTATTGTCGTCGATGACGTCGATTACGGGGCAGACTACTGTAGTCTTACTACGGGCAATTCTATCTAGTAATGGTTCGAGCCATCCTGGAATGAAATAGCTGAGGTTAACGACTGCTCGTTAAGGGGAATTTGTGTTACGCTAATTGTAAGATTTTACCTTCAGTGCACTCGCAATGGCTGTCGAGATAAGTTAGAACGGGAGCAGTGACGTATCGAGCACCAAGGAGTCGTGCTCTGATGAGACCTTCACGTCGAGTGGCTCGAACTATTCTCACTTTTGGTAATGATGACATGTAATCATCAAGTTGCTGCATTAAGTGAGCTGCAGATACATAAAATAGAATTAACACAACCACTCAAATATTTAACATACACGATGTTCGGTTGAAACCAATAAAAATACTTACGCATGTCAGAAAAGTCGTCTACAAGAATAATTTCCTTGATCAAGTGTGCCGGCGACCGATCCAATACTGAATGAACGGTCCTAAGTAACACCGACCATGCCTCGTTGTGGAAGCATATTACTACGGATGTTTGTGGCAGATCCTCTAAGTATCTGCCTGGAACTTTGCACCTGTAAAAATTTTACACGGGTTATATTTTATAAACAAAAGAAATGCGTATTCAGCAACAATACGTGTGGGTACAGTTTGTCTTTTCGCCTGTTTGAATAGGAGTTTTACCTCATAAAATCTTATTGTAATATTATAAAATTTTACATCTTGTCTTTTCCTGTCCTTGATTGTACAACTATATTGATTTTATCACCAAATGATAGGACCGTCCATTATGTATAAAGAGCCCGTAAAATCTTTTAATTCAGATAAGTTAAGAAATCACAGCATTGTAAATAAATTAAGATATTATCTTTCAAACGATACGATAAAAGTATCAGAAACGTTAAAACGTTAAATAAAATCCCTTATCTTTATACCGAGTTATTATTTCCTGGCTCTCAGCGTTGGAAAATTTTATTACAAATAGACCTGTGCCCAGATAAGGCTAGGGCTATAAAATTTACTATTTTTCACAGGTTTAAGGACACGGGCCATTTACAAGACCAATATCGCCTCGCCTCATAATGGTGTATTGAAAATGCTATGTGCACACAGAAAATTGTATGAAGATTGAATATATCGTAGTCTCTTAGACCAGTTGACAGTTTTTTCGGTTATTGTAATGTATTTCTCGATTTCCAAATTACTTTAGCAATAATATTCCAAGTCTGTATAACGTTGTATTTTATACCCTATTTCGGAGAACGTTTTATCAGTTTGGAATTGTGGTAAAAGGTTCTTGGAAACGGACTCTTATAATATTATTTTTACTTTATCCACAAAGCAAAAGCAATGCGTTGATTCAGAAAAATGCGATAAGAGAGAGAAAGGATTCGCGGAAATCCCTAAATCCCTTGGGATGTTCGCAGGTTGTACCTCATACATGTTGTACGGATTTGGTATCATTTTCTTACCACTCGTCTCTGGGGTCCGGCAGCTTTCTCCTAATAGATATCAGGTCACTGACGTATTGGTTAAACGCGTTCTTTTTCCATCCCTCCGAGACAGCTAACTTGGCTTCTTCGCTAATATTCTTTGGTAGGACGACCGGTTTACCCAGTTCTCCGGGTGCGTTGTCCGAGCCCGGGGCAGCGATCACACCTAGCCCTACAGGATGTAATTATTTATAACAACACACCTTAAACATTTTTTTTTAAATACAGCATTTAAAAATATTCACTCATTTCTATTGAACTCATGATTGGTTTGGAAGTTGAGTGCGTGAAACTGATGATACCTACTCCTCTGGCAAATCGTAATCGAGAATGAATTTAGTATTTCATAATGTTTTTGGTTAGGTTGATGATTTATTTTCGTAGGTATTAATAGAATGGCAATTAATTGTGACCATCTGCGGTTAATATGACAGTTTAATTGCAGTGTGAATTAGCAGTGCAGCATAAGCTACTGTCCGCCACTAATACAATTGCGGCAACAATAGGTTTTATTTATAAGTATAGTTAGTTACACATTACACCCCCAGAATTGTTGACTAAAAATCCACTACACGTAGGAACGCTTTAGGATCTACATAATAATGTACACTAAGATTATCACGACATATTAAGCAAAAGGAAAAAATCTTCGCAAAACTTTAATTTTTATCTCTATTAAAAAGTCGATGAGCTTTGTCAATCAGTGGTATCGATGAAATTGGCCCATAAATTGTATTTTAATATTCCCATTTGCTTACTATTCCGTGATAAAGGCTAACTAACAAAGGTCATTAAAATTTACCTTCATTTCCCGAAAGCCGACCGATCCAATCGACCCGCGTTGGTGCTGTGACGGACAAACGCACATTATCATGCAAAATGTCGAAATACAGGAAGCTACTAACAAAATCTAACATGCAGAACATAAATCAAGTAAGAGGTGTACGCTACACATAGTGAAATAGTATTTGACCTTGAAGAAACACATATAATTTATATTGCCCACATTCATTTTTTTTGAAAATAGCTTTGATTTTGATTATCTACTAAGGCCTATTCAACCGTTTAATAGTATCAGTGCTACTCGTTCCATTTTGTGCATTACATTTAGAAATTTCTGTTTAGTGACATAAGAATAATGAAGGGCAAGAAGTGCGGAGAGACACCATGATTCTTCCACCGAAGCATAAAAATGAAATAGGTATGTAAAGTGGACTTATTGCGTGAGTTTCATTTTTTTTAAATTTAATGAAGTAAAGACTAAACATTGTTTTATTTTTCCCTCTTAAAAATCTCTGTATAAGATTTTCAACAAATTGTTTTTTCATTTGCTTTAGTACAAACTAACTTTTTAGGGTGCCAACTTCACCTAATGGCCACCATTATTTGGGTCCACACAACAACTGAATAGCTTCAATAAAACTAACCAGAATGTAATAATGACGATTCACTGTTATAACGCTCTGGGGGAAAATCTTATTAGAAATTCATTCTAGTATTCCGTTACGACCCTCATTACCATTTGTATTGCATGTATTAGCCAAAAGACAATCGTATTGAGACGTCTCTTAGAGAACATAAAAGACAACACGGAAAGCAATATTTATAAATGCAAACAGCAGCACTGACGCTATTATAATTCAAACGGGGTGTTGTTTTCAAAATAAATAAGAACATAGAATTCTGAGGTTTATTCTTTCTATTCTGATCTCAAGGGATGCGACTCAAAATTCGATTTCTGTTCAAAGATTTCCTTATTCAAACGTACCTAATAAAATGTAGTCTACATATCAAATTTGCATTCATCAGTTCTGGATTTATTTACAGTGTTATCATAAGGGTTATAAGTTAGTTCCGTGGGTGACAGTGCAAAATTGTGTGAAGCTATCGATATATCTGGTATTTGATGTAACGCCTACACCAAGCAAGCTCATGCAGGTTCAGTGCATAAATAACACTCACCATCAGATAAATTATTCCCGTAGGTTTCACTCTTCTTTTTTGTAGATGTGGGCTTTCCCATCTTCAAGGGCTTTGCCTCCGCCTCGACATATTCGATCGCTGGCGCAACGATCGCATTCCTTGAACCGCCATTAGTAGTCAACAGCGCGACCATAAACCATATCGCTGTTAATATGAGCACAGCCTTCAATATCAAAGTCCGCCTCCGTAAGAAAAACATGCTGTAGTATTTCATTCTTCTCAATACTTATTTCCAAGATATAGACTGCTTGAAGTTCTCTGTTTATTTGATTCACTCAATACATTTTTCGAAACTTGAATATTTTAGTCTTATCTTCATTTAAATCTATGATGTTTTAAATCAAAAATCTTCTTTATAGAATTTGAGCAATAAAGTTTACACTATCTATAATCACAAAAGGGTGACTAGCATTAATAATGAGATATGTCTTCGTGTTTAACGATTGTCACAAGATATGCTTCTTCGATATAACAGTTTCAGTGATGAAAATATACTTCACATGACTTTGGTGAATGTGGCTATAACTTGGCCTGGGTTCGTTTTTGTTTGAAAAGTTTCTTTCTCGTTTTTTGTTTCATTTCCAAGCGCTCATTGAGCATGATTTATCGTCCATATTCTTCAGCTCGAGTCCTGGGAACAAAATAGTTGCTTATCAATAACATAACACGCACACTCTATCAAGCTACATAAATAAAATCCACATAATTTTGATTGATGTCCTTCTTTAAGTACAGCCGTATTTATAGCAGGCGATTTTTTCTCGCCAAATCCCGCCGCTGGCTACTGAAAAGGTAATTGTGTTGGAAGGCCCCTTTTAGGGGTCCTCCACCTCGGATACTATGATTAGAAAAAAATCGAGATTTGATTGACGTCTTGTCATTGTCGAAAAGGCTATTGCTAACAGAATTTTGTCAGGAGATAGAAAAATTCAAAACGATGATGTATTTATTACCTCCTTTATTAATAACACAAGTTATCTTGAAATATTTGATCCATATTATTTCCTAACAAACATAAATGTAGTTCTATTAGTATTTGGAATAAGTAAAGAAATCCCAATAATTTACTGGAACAGCTACATTAATACGGCTCAAATAGCAAAAGTTTCGCAGCCCTACGAAGAAACTAAAGATGTACAATGGAGCCCTTTCTAGTGGTATGAGGAGGGTGGTAGTTTCCGCCACACGACTGATGGATTGTTCTGCTTCGTACATTATCGGGGCTAGCTGCCAGTGCCATTTTTCAAGTGGTCACACCGCAATTTTGTAGGCCAGAATGGCAACACTCAGCGTCGCTTTTAGTGTTAAAAATGCATTGAAATAATTCCTTGTCCTGATCTTTCTCAGAAAAATGTTTAGTTTAAGTTATGTACATAATAATGTAACATATAACTTTAAATTTTATACAGCGAACAGAGATCATAGATGTCTGTTCGCTGTATAAAATTTACTCACTTCCAACGTTTGTCTTGGGGGACCAGAGAATTATAAAGACAAATACGATAGCGAAAACGTAGATGAATTTAAAGGAAACTCGAACCGAAACACTTTAAAACGCGATCAGTTCTATCCAATTATCCTTATTTTAGGAGAAAGAATCCCAATAAAAATTTCAATTGGTTTAGTCAAGTCAAGAAATGGAAATGAGTGTAAAGTATTGTTCCTTAGGTAATCTGACCTCGATTTGCATATAGCCGCACACACTTAACCCAAATTTTAGCCAACTTTTATCTTTAACTTTTTAATTAAACCAACAAGCTTCGCAACGTGGTTATTAACACGTTACCTTACCTTGTTACAGCTTAGTTCTTGCAAATTCGATGCGATGTTTGTATCTGTAACAATTACAAAAAAACATGTTAAGTTTACGATAGAGATGCGCCGTTATCGATTTAAAGAGAATGTCGAAATACGAGTAATAAATTAGATAAAATCTTTACGGTCTCAAATTTAACGTAAATAGCACTAAATGGCGAAATATCCGAACATCTGAGACGTCTGCTGTAATAAATTCTAGGGAACTCCACCCGAGGGCTTATAGCAATTTAACCGAATTGGTACAAATTCAAAATGTTCACCGAGATTATTATTTCATCCGTATTGGAAAGGTATGTATGACGGAATATGATGCATCGATAAAATTAAATTACAAAATGCGATTTAGTTTAACATGTTCCAGAAGTAATCTTGAGTCATGCAATGAGGCTGTATGTTGTGAAATATGTAAATTAATTTCTAATAGATAATTACATAATTTATTTCAAACGCTATATTATTATAATTAGGATTTTAAGTTTATTTAAGCAAGAAAATGTAAAACATTTATAGGATAAAAAAACAGATGACTTTAAAATCAATGAAATCTGATTTTTATGGACTTAACAAAAATCACAAATACTTGGTAAAAGTTCACTGGTAGCAATAACAAATGTTTGGTAAACTGCGTATTACGGTATTACACATAGCGTATTCGTACGCAATGCAGATCAGTAATATGAATCGAGTACAAAAATACGCATTACATTTCAATAAAAAACGCTACTTTAACTTCAATATGCGTAATAACTATATTCATTGCTCTTTATTATATTATTATCTTACACATTAATATTGCTATTTCTGAATAAGAGCCTCAATATATTGTAAAAACATATCGAAATAATATTCAAATAAGATAAAATAAATTCACTTTTAATAGAAATGAAATAAAGTACACATTCAAGTTATGCTGAGAAGCCAAATGAAATTGTAATAGGATTGGTTCATAGAATTAGAAGGAATGTAAAATAAAAGGACGCTACTGGGATCACTTGAAATATTCAATTCTAACAAAGTACGTATTATTAATTGAAGTTGTCATTCCATGTGCAAAATGAAACATGTCGACGTTGTTTCCCTTAGTTGTCGGATTGCATAGAAGAACTTTAATTAAATACTTTAAGCCGATGTCACAATGTTATAATAGTGCTAATGTTTCAACTAAGCGTTTAGAATATTTTGTAGTTTGTAAACCAACTGGTTGCGTTTAGAGCCACAGTTGGAGCGGAAGAGAAACTTACACAGGAGTTCAATGAGTAAAAATGAAAGATATCGTATGAGTGAGGGTTCATTTACTGGTGACTTTTTAATTTTAAAATGCTTAGTTTTTCTTTTTTCAATGTTTGGATTTTGTATTGTATTGGACTCATCTCAGTATTTGCTACATATAATTTATTAGGTAGGTACTTTAAAACATGAAGTATAACAGTAAGCTATTATTGTAATACGTTGAAAAATTTTACTCATTTTATAGCCATTAACTCGGTATTAAAATAAACTGCATTTAAATATAAACCCCATTAAGATTTTAACAAGACACATTTTACTGGCCTCAAAGGGCGGATGGCGTTGCGTGCGCACAACCATGACCTAAGCGAACTCCGTCGTCTCCCGCCCGCTGGTCACGAGTTGATGTGCAACTACTAATTTACGTCATTACTCCATTCACCATATTATAGCGAATGCAATCATTAAAGCTGTGACCGGGTTTGAGAAAATTGAATTTGAAATACACCGTTTTCTTAATTATAGTATTTTGTTAAGTCATTTACATTTTTCTGTATTGTGTATGTTGGATAAGATTGCGTAAAAGTTGTATTAAAACTGCTATTTGCTGTTGCCAAGTAAGAGATATTAAAGTATTTATAAGTTAAATGAAACAGCATTCAAAGTTTCGATTTTTCTGTCTCCCATTCACATTTATGGGGAACAAATATTACAACAAATAATAAGTCATCGACAAAACGATTAATGGATTCCCGCAATAAAGATCAGTCTTGATAATAATCCAATTACTTCATCCCGAAAGAGAGGGATATTAAAAAAGGAGCTAACGTCACGAGCGGAATCGTTGGAGATCTCGACTAAAACGAAGATAAAATGACCTAATTTGGCAATCCCTCTTGAGGATTCATTTTCCTTTTTATCGAAGTCGATGGAACCCACTGAGTGACTGCCGCCATTTTAGTTGAAAGCAATTTTGAAAATTCTGAAATTTGGTTTTCCGAGTGGTTCGAAAATTTGAGGAGGATCGGTGAATGGGGAAAATAATTATGAGCTGTTATCTTAAGTACAGGAGCAGACAATAGAGAGAAAAGATTTTATGATGGTGCTCAAAAGCGATGGGATAGACTTGGGTGTTGTTTACGTAACACACACATTTGTTCTGTCTTTACGAGGTATTAAAACTTTGTTTGGAGCCCTCGTGGCAGAGAAAGAAAATAAAATTATGACAGATAAAACTTAACGAAAAAAGTTTTCGTAATAAACGTGGCAGATATAAATAAGATGTCTTTACAACTCTCATAACAATGCTGATGGAAGTGTCTCTGACACATATTTCTGTACTAACTTCTGTGGAAATATTTTCACGTACTTTTTTATTAATTTGGAAGTCGAAATGTAAACAATGAAAGGATTTAATTTGGGATATTTTTTGCATGCATTTTACAAACTATAAGATAATGTTTTGCCTTAAAGTGTAGGCAGAAGTAAATACTATTCGACTTGAAAATAGCACCGGGAACCATCTTGCTCAGTTCCCATACTTACGTACACTCTACCAATGAATTAAGCATTCGATATGCAAGGAACGATCAGAATAATACTCTAAGGAACACAACGCAACAACACATACACTTCCGAACAACTTCACATAAGAAAGTCGTCAACATATAAGCACGTACTAGAATTGCATGCACCACAACGTGGTCGGACCAGCATAGCATCGGGCAGAGGTCACCGACCTACCCCCGCACTAATCCTACCCCCTCCACGTCCTTAAGAATCCTGCTAATGACATTTGATAGGTTTTTAAGCTACTTATACATTTATAGCCTTATATTCGTATAATGTGTATTATTTTTAGGACCTGTATCACAAGTTGCTGTTCGCTAAGTTATACATATGTATTTTCAAATATTTTCTATGCAAAAATATGTAAATATAATTTTCAATTAGACTAACTGGAACTTAATCAGGCATTGCGAAATAGCCCATGAATGTTTGCAGTTATTACACACAACACCGAATATTTTTTTTTATATTTGATGGGCCGATGTTTGACCACTATTTCGCCGGGTATTAGGCGATGATGCGGTATACGATGGATCACGTCGACCCATAAGCAACCTATTCAGTTGGGCCTTGAAGACACCTAGGTTATACCTTTCAGGA